CTCTGACACAGCACCTGCTATCAGAATACAGTGATTGGATGGCCCTCAGCAACTTGCCATCAATCCCGTAGGTACGAAAGCATGTCCACAGACTGTTGCGTGAGATCCGGTCATACGCTCTCTCTAGGTCCAATAAACACATGTACACCGGCTGGGCGTACTCCCACGATTTCTCATGATAGCTTATTATTAAACTTAATGAATGACACGTATTTTTGTACATAAATCAATTTTTGACATACCTTTGAAAGTGCATCCATTGAAGAGCGCTGATAATCTGCACCATCACTTTCGCGATGACTTCTTCCGTGTAGTAATCGTCGAAAGTGAATCGATCGAAAAGTCCATCGTGCAGTCTTTCCATGAATATTATTAAGTGACCTCCACTACATCATCCAAATAATAGAGAGAACTGTTTCCGATTCAAAAGGCTTACTTTCTGTACGCTGCAATGAACTCCACGATGCTTCGGTGACGCAATAGTCGAAGTACCTCACATTCGCGAAAAGACATCTCTGCAAATTCTGGCTTGTCTGACAGGATCTTGGCAACACAGTGAGACGAGCTTTCCCTCAATTTGTCCACTGCGTTTCGAATGATGCAAAATCTGCCTCTAAAGTCAGGAAGCATCATGTGGGCGTGAGCTAACAAGAAGTGAAATTTAGGTATTTTATAGTTTTATATTTGTTCCGATGTTATATCATCAGAAATATTGAAAAACCTACATGACTTCTTTATGCGGGAGATGATGTAATGTTTTGTAGGTCTTCGGAGTACAGTGACAGACCGAGCTTTTACAAAAACATAAAAGTCTCTAATTAAAGAACATGTTTTGCGTTGTCTTCCGTTTCAGGCTTACCGTAAGATCGTAATAGAATTATGTAGTAATTACTAAAAACACTACTAATACACTCAATGGAATAATCATGAGCAGAAAATAAACACTCATTACTTAAGCCACCTGCGGTTTGCTGATGAAGTCTTGATTTTCTCAATTTACTGAAACAACTGCAAAGAAGGCTCCTACATCTGCACGACTTGTTGAAACCAATGGACGTATGCTTAAAGAGGTGCCAAGCGATGTCAATCTGGAAGAGCTCTTCACTACACCGAAGAGCCGATTCTGAGAAGTCAACAGAAGAAATACAATGTTCTAATCCTGGTAACTGCACTCGTGCTTAAAACGGAAGTTCTCAATTAGTGTGCGTACCCAGTGCTCACCTGTGGAAGTGAAATGTAGACCCTTAACCTATTAATAAACTGCTGACAACGCAACGCAAAATACAAAGTTGTATTTTGAGAGTAACAAGAAGAGATACGAAGACCAATGAATGGAATAGTAGGATATAAAACAGAGACACCCAAGTCGTTCTATGAGCGAAAAAGTTGAAGTGGCAATGAGCAGGACACCTTTCCAGAAGAACGTACCATCACTAGACTAGGCAGACATAAACTTGGTTCCAAGACAGAGTAACGACATGCAAGGAAACCTCGAAGTCGATAGCAGGACGAATTGAATGAATTCCGATTAGCTAGAAGAACCACGGAAAGAGTGGTTCATGGCAAAGTCTTGGAAAGGCCTTCATCTAGCATTAAATTGAAAAGGTTCATGTTGATGACAGACAATACCTAAAATTTTGGTAACTCTTAAAATATCACCGCAAGAGTTGAAAGCCACCGCTCCCTTGTATCCTTGATTAAGACATGATGTAATCTTATCACCACACGGTTTCACTTCTGAATGAAAAAGGATAACTAATGGATAGAACGACGAGAAAACCTGGAAAAGGATGGAAATTGCGGCCAAATTAAATCTGGCGTAATGGCCTTCGAAATATTATATTTATATCGTCATCTGTTTGAACATACAGGAACACATGTCATTGTCATTTTCAAACAACTTTTAAGAAAAGTAACAGAGAAACTGTACCTGACCAATGTTCATATTTTCATAATATGTTTTGATGTCGGGTTCGCTGAGTAATATACGAAAATAGCTGTTTTGATTGAGCTAATCTTACAACTTCAACTGAGAGCTAATTTAAGAAGTCGAAATCATCTTCAGTAAAATCCCAGAATTTCATATATTTGTTGGCGGCATACCCAAATCTATTACCGCATCAGACAATAGTTTTAATGCCTATACATTATGCGACGTTGAAGTTCAAAATGAGGCAAAATTTACTCAGATGTCCTTATCATTGCATACACTGCTGATCTGAGTTTCAAGATGTTAGTTCCGACTTTCAAGGTACGTGGGTTCTAACTGCCATGGTTCTATTTCATGTCTATGCGTGGCATCAGTGTGTCTGCCCAATGCATGAAATATCCACTGGATTAAAAAATATTCTTGTGCTATTCGTTCGAGCCGTACCAAAATCAGGAACAGGCTTAAAATAGAGAATAAAAATGGGCGTGCTTTTTAAATACCTCTAGTTATTAATGATAAGCCAGAATATGATTGGAAAAATAACCATACCTGAAAATTACTGATTCAAGTTGAAATCTGCAGGAAGGATCCATATCAATAATGTCGGTACTGTTCTTGAGAACAGGACTGGCGCTGCAGCTCGTAAAGTTTGAGTGAGATCCCTCAGTGTCACCTTCGCCTTCGTCCTCTGGAATATCTCCCAGACAACCGCTCTGCGGCAAATTGACGACGTTCAGAACGTAATCATTTTTCAAAATTTCTAAGTTTAGCTTTAGAGCGCCTAGAAATTTGAACATGACGCTTAACGTCGAGCAGGAGCCGATGCGCATTCACACATTCACCTCTTGGATGAGTCTGAATGATGCGACTTGAGAGGCTGGGCTCACTCAATCCGTACGAGTTTCGAACAAACACACGAAACTGATAGATGCCCAGTGGCTCAAGTCTTTTGATGATGACCGCTTCCGAGTCGAGACTGTTCGACACTGTGAACCACGGACAAGACCATTCGCCTTCGCCTAAAGTTTTCAGACATTAAAAAGTTTTTAAACGCTCGGAATTTTACCAGCTCGGCGGTATTCCAAGCAATAGTTAATTATGTCGAGCCCATCAGTGCGAACGGGAGCTTCCCATACTACAAGCACTTCGCTGTCTGACGCTAACCTGACTTCTGGCCTTCCTGGTTTCTCAGGAATATCTGGAAAGAAACAACCTCCATGTGATGGGCCCTTGCACGAAATTCAACAACGCGTTACCAGCCATGAGCAACCTGCAACTGCATGCAGAATAACCGAATTCGTTCTGAGCGAAGCACTTGTATATTCCAGCGTCAGAGAAAAACACCGACTTCACAATTAGCTTTGCCCAGTTGTTTTGGAAGCTTAACTCATGATCCTCGTCCGCTACTATTGGCACGTCGTTGTGGAACCATCTCAACGCTGGCCGGGGTGATGCTATGACCTTACATTGCAAGACAACCTGGTTTTCGTGTGGAGGGCAAAATACGTCTTGCAATCTGTGTTGAAAAATCGGTCCATGCCCTGAAATCATCAATTAATTCCAAAGCGAACAACGTTTAAAGCAGCGTTTCAATCAGTTCAGTTGTTTCAAGCAGTCGTGAAAAGCCATCCTTTAATTATACATAAAAATAAACGCATTTCAACTTGGATTATAGCACAGTATAATTTGTTCTTTCGAAATAATATTTTATTCATCTTAATGAGCTAATTTAAGATAATGACCTATTTCAGGTCTTGAAAGAAAATAGTGCCTGCTTCAACTAGAAAATATTCATACTAATCGGCATAACTGCTTATCTGGACGCTTTATAATAAATCATAACCGAACTTTGCGAAGTTACAGTTTGACAGGTTACCGGAATTAACCCGTTCCTTCGACAAAAAGGGATCTTTAGCGACTTACACCGTATCTTGCATCATGCAAGACGATGAGCAGAAATTTAGCAACTGCTTGTAACGACAGCGTCTAAATGCAAAGTTGACCTCATTCCTAATGCTAAATAAAATATTAATGTTGTGTCATTATGTTAAGCTGTATATTATAATTTTTTATTGGTCAGTTGCTCATTACTGGCTTCTCTTTCCACAGAGCATATTATTGTTCATGCGAACGAAAACTAAGGTATGTGGCAACTTATGACAGTCCAATGGACTGAAATGACGGCTGACGATGCCGCTATAGTCGAGAAATTGGTGGATGTGACTGAAATATATGTTTAAGGTTATTCCCTGAGAGTGCGAATAGATTCGACGGATGCCGGACGTAGGGTGTAAATATCATCATTAATCTTGGTTTCATCAGTCATCCACCATCTCTGTGCAGAAATGAGGTTACTGAATTGGACCTGCTTGATTTTAGCAAATACTTAGTTCAGCCCGCACTGATCCTTGAAAATGGAACGACAAAATGTTTGTAATAGACATTAGTCAAGATTTGCCAAACAAAAACTGTTTTTAGTTTCTGATACCGGACTGAAGCGACGTAATGACTAATGTCACCGTCCCCTTGCTTCTAGTCCCCTAGTGGACTATTAAGCAGGCCACGGCTGCATGGTATTTGAGCACATGCAGTGTACGGATGCAGAACCGTATCGCTAGGCAGGGTCGAACAATTCGGACACCTGCAAATATGCCATGATCAGCAAGATGAGCGTCAGCAGATTAGGAAGGTAGTTCCTGGAAGTTATTCGTAGAAAATTATTGTTCTATTGTTCTACTGTTGTTTGTAAAAGTCTTAATGATTTTTCTTTCAAATTGGATTATGAGCGTTACTGGTTGATCCTTCTTTCAGGTGAGAACAGGACGCTTGATCCCATGTTTACTTCCCAAGAACCAGAAATCCTTTAACGATAATCATGAGATCAATAATTATTAAACTTATGTGAATATCGTGTCAGGAAATCGGATACATTACATGATTATATGGCTGAAAAACAAAAGAAAACAAAGTGTAACTTTTCGAGGCTTTCCTTCCTTCGATAAATCCTTTAACCATTTTACCCAAAAATTGGAGATGATTTACTTAATTTCTTAAAGATCAATTAATCATAATTTCAAACAGCAGTCATGGCAAACTTCGTATATTGATTTTCATTATAAAAGAATGATTTCTGTTGTCTTCAAGGTAGTGAAATATGAAAATATAACTGAAGCTTGCACATGTTTTGCACATACGACTGTAAAACACTGGCGTGGGAAGAAATGTTTAACTAACTAATGGATCAGAGATGGGCCAGCAACATCCTTGGGCTCTGCTAAGACACGACAGCGAAAGGAGATGAACGGCATCAGAAAAGACGTTAGTTGGATTTGGCTGCGAAGTGGAAAAGGTACACAGGAGGAATCGGATTTGCAGTCAGCAGACGCCGCTCTCGAAAATCGTCTCCTGCCAGGTGAAGTCACTAAAGCTGGGTGCTTGTGCCTCAAACTGAACAATAACAGTACCTTGAAAATTCTGCTAAACTTATGCTCCCATCAGTACAGCTGACGAGGAGGAGGTTGAAGAATTTGTCAAGATCTGGAAGAAGCATCTGTCCATCGGTGGAAGACTTCAGTTCCAAAATCGGATGATGAACGGTCGATGAAAAATTTGTCGGTAGGCACAAAATCAGATAGCGGAATAAGAGAGGAGGTCGCCTGGTGACCATGACAGAAACGAAACACCTGTAGATTGGCAACAGCTGGTTCAGAAAGAAGACAACAGCAAATGGATGTAGCGTCCACAATGTGAAGAAGAACGAGGCCAACTTCCTTCTGTCCGACGAACGCTGCATCATCTGAGATATAGCGGTAGTGCCATCTTTTATCACTGGCAGTAAACTACACACCAAGTTTCGATGATAAAATCGAGAGGAAAATATCGCAGATGAAAAACTGCAGATGACAGCTGAAGGTATTCTGAGGTCTCAAAGCGCGCCTTTCCAGCAAAATTGGAGCCTCAAAGGCAGCAGCAACGACGATTACGGGAAGTTGGCAAAGAAACTGAGCCTCCGTGTAAAGTTTGTTAACATCAAAGCGAGCGAAAGGAAGAGACAACGAACTTTCTGCAAAAGCGGAGGGAAATGAAGAGACATGAAGACTGAGGATGGACTCCGAGTCCTTCCGATTGCAAAAATTAGTGAAAACGGCTGAAGACCGCAGAAACCTCAGACAAAGATGACGCATTCATGCCTGACAGAGCTCAGACGCAATTTCTCTGCAAGAACCTTTACACCCAGCATTTGCTTAGAAGGGACGCGACTCTTTGACTTCCTCCTCATTCAACCGGCCTCATAAGCCAAGTTTGGTACGCTGCGCACGAGTGAAAGAAGGAAAATCCCTTGGAAAAGACGGTCTGACAATTGAAATGATCAGAGCAGGCGATCAGACGCTGTGGACGGATGTAGCGTGGAGGTTCAGTAGATACCTGCAAAAGGAAAGATACCATCAAGCTGGAAATAGTCAAGAACAACTGTGCTGTTCAAGAATGGCGAGAAGGAATACCTGAAGGACTATCACCCAATTTGTCTGATTCAACAGTTTACAAGCTGTTCACTAAGATCATCATCTACAGACTGCTAACAGGTCTGAACAAACAGCAGCCAGAAGAACAGGCAGGATTCGGAAGTTGCTACAACACAACGGGTAAGGTCATTACCTTAAGTCAACTCCTCGAACACTCAAGAGAATTCCAACTACCTTTGTGCATATCCTTCGTTAACTACGAGAAACCGTTCGACGTGAGGAGTACAACGCAGTTTCGACTGCATTGACACAACAGACTCGTTGCATCAACCTGCCAAAGGAAGTGGACTCT